CTTTGTCTTTGCTTTTCCCAGCAGAAGCTAGAAACCAACAATGCAGAAGACAGAAGAGAGACTCTAGCTGCTGGTGGAAGAGAGTCTGGAAAAGGGCTAATATCCTTCAAATTTAAAGATTAGTGAGTTCAAATAAAACAGAATATGTGATCCCTAATATTCCATTCTAATATGATTTTTCTGAGGTCAGGGAATATGAGCAATACACGACCCCATGAAGAAAACAGAAGGCCAGTTTGGGTGGCAGTTTACTTTTTCCACTGTGCATGAGAAAACAAATGAATAAGAACATTGTAGCATTCCCTTAAGTGGGTCCCTAGGACGTGGTATGTTGAATCCACGGCCTCCATACTATGAAAAAAAAAAAGAGTATGAAATAGGGACTCAGAGAGAAGTGAAAGAGGAGTAGTATCTAAATGAAAATAAAATTAATAATGGTAAATCAAAGACTGCAATAAATATAATACCCCAAAGTAGAGCTCACCGGCATTCCACTACATTTTTCTCTATTTATCTTAATGTTGTTTCTTTATATATTTTGATTTTTAATAAGTGAATGAAGGATGCTTTGTCTCCCTAGCATAAGAAATTTAAAGAGTAATTAAGATCCAAAATCTGCAGCAGATGTTGTGAAAGGATAAGAAACTGCTCAAAGGGGAAAAATAACTAGGATAGGGGAAAGAGGAAAAGGAAGGGAAAAGGAAAGAGATATAAATTTGTTTATAAATACTTAAAATAGCTAAGATGATTATACTACTAATTCTATTAGTTCTTGGAAAAGAACAGTTAATACTTGTATGATTAAATCAGTTCACATGGCTATATCTGGTAATCTAAACAGCTCCTTTGAAGAAAACAATATACAATATTACCATTATTGTTAAATTCCTATCATCTTGTTTTGAAAGCATATACTACTCATATTTTTGGGGGTTTTTTTTTGTTGCTGTTATAGTTATTTGTATGTCTCTTATTTTTGTTTCTCTTTTCTGTGTTTTTTTCTCTTAAAAATAAAAAAAATTTCAAAATAGCTAAACTGGTTAAAAAAAAAAAAAGAAAAGAAAGGCGATCTGATTAAGCCACAGATAACCATAAAGGAGGTAAAGTGTTTCAACAAAAGTAAGGCAAGTCCAGCATAACCCTACCGTTAGCTGGTTGCTCTGCTCTTTATAATTCAGTTAATTTTTGAGAGCTACCTCATTCTGAAATACTGCTACAAAATTACAACAGCAGAACATCTTACTTTCAGTGACCACAAGGTCATGTATCCTGGTGTATATTACAAAGAAGATAAAAAGAGCTAAAATGCGGTGTGTTAGATTTATGCATGAGATTATTAATTTTTCCCTAAAGAAATAATGTTAGAAAAGGTGAAGAAAGCCTTTGAACTTTAGGTTTATAATATTGCAAAGTAAGAAAAAAGATAGATGAACAAAGATGAAAAACCTACACTCTATATTTCTCTGGATTAAACTTGGTCTTAGATCAAGGCCTAAAATTTAGAAAAACCTTACTCTATTCCCTTGAATTAAAAAATTACAGCCAGAATTCTCCAGTGTAAAATAAAGTATTAAATCACAGAATACTAGAGAGAAAAAAGGTAGCATCAAAACCTGGCTTTTGCAAGGCTACCTTTACTGAAATGGTGCTTTTTTAGGTGCTGATCTGTTATGATCAGTTGAGGGAAGTCTGATCTTCAGTTCCACAGGAAGCCCCACAGAAAAGCATGACTAGGAAGGTGCAAGGTGGAAAGGTATCACCCAGAAACCTCTGTGTATTGAAACCTAGCTGGCCTGAACACAAGTGCTGCCACAGGAAATGATCCCACCACTTCAGTCTGCAGTCTTGCTAGGGAAGATAGCCATTAAGAAAGTAGGAGCTCAAGGTGTTTGATCAGCAAAAAGCGGTCTTAAGGAAGCTTACCAGGGAGTTAAGTCTTTAGTGTGGTCTGAAACACCTCAGGAACTTTCTCCTGGTCAACATATTCACACCTAACCTGTCCCTCGGTTACAATTCTGCAGATAGAAAGTATTCTCCTATATTTTATTTATTTTATATTATTTGTTTTATTAATACATATTTTCAGTACATAATGTTTACATTCCTTGAGTGGAACAGGTGCATGCACATGCTACATCTAAATCCCTTTTCCTCACCACTCTCCACACTCCTCCTTCTCTTGATTCCCTTCCCATTTGAGAAAGATTTCCTGACTTCCTATTATCTATGCTTTATTTTGCTCTTTATTTATAATTTGTGTTTCACATTTAATAGAAACCATGGAATATTTAAGCTTGTGTGTCTGATTTATTTCACTTGGCATGATGATCTCAAGTTGTGTCCATTTTTCTACAAATGACAATCTTTATTGTTAGCACTATACCACTGTCTATAATACCGCAATTTCTTTATCCATTGATTTGCTGATGAACATATAAGCTGTATAACTCCAAGATTTAGCTATTATCAATTTTGCTTCTATAAACATGTATATATATATACATCTGTAATGTGATGACTTTAACACAGAAAGATAACTGGTTGGGGGATAACTGGGGAATTTCTACTTTTAGTTTTCTGAGAAATCTCCATACCAATTTACATAGAAGTTATAGCAGTTTACATTCCCATAAACAGTGTCAAAGGGTTTCTTACTCCTACAGCCTAGCCAGCATTTATTGTTTGACTGCTTGATGCCTATTCTTTCTGGGATAAGACGTAATCTCATTGTTGTTCATTTGCACTTCTGTAATGGCCAGTGATGCTGAAAAAACACAATTTTGTCATCTTCATGTATTTTATTAGCCTTTTGTACTTTTTCTGAGAAGTATCTATTTATTTTGCTTGCCAGTTTTTTGTTTAGGTCTTTAAATTTGGGGTCCATTTTTAAAAAACTCTTTATACATTCCAGATACTATCCTCTGCTGAGGATTAGGTGGCAGATGTATTTTCCCATACTGCAGGTTGTCTTTTTACTGTTCGCTGTTTGTTTCGTTGTGCAGATGCTCTTTAATTTGTAATGCTTTTTGTTGGTTCTTGATACTATTTCATGGACAACCAAGGTTCTGTTCAGAAATTCCTTGTATAGAAAGTTCTATGATTTGAAGAGTTTTAACTGTTTTGTCTTCCAAAAGGTAAAATGTGTTTGTCTTAACATTTAGTTCTTTGATCTATTTTGATTTTAATTTAGCACATAATGAGAGATATGGATCTAAATTCAATCTTCTGCATATGGATAGCCAGCTTTCCTAACCCAAAGAGGCTGTCTTTTCTCCAATGAATGTTTCTTGCTCCTTTGTCAAAGATCCAGTAGTTGAATATGTTTGGGCTTTTTTCTGCATCCTCTATTCTATTGATTCTCACATCTGTTTTTGTGCCATGCTGTTTTTATCACTGTAGTTATGTAATATAACTTCAAGTCCAGAATGATGATGCCTTCTGCTTTGCTATTGTTGCTCAACATTGCTTCTGTTATTCTGAGTTTCTTCTGGTTCCTTATGAATTTAAAATGTTTCTTTCCAGTACTGTGAAGAATGGTGTTGATATTTAGTCAGGATTGTGTTAAATCTGTGTATCAATTTTTGAAGGATAGCCAATCATCCTACATATACTCTGCCTATCCAGGAACAGGAGATATCTTTCCATTTTCTGATGCCTTCTTCAATTTTCTTTTTCAGAGTAACTTAGTTTTCACTGTAGAGGTCTTTCACTTGCTTATTTAGGTAACTCATTATTCAATATTTCTCAATGCTATTGCACACACTATTTTGTCCTAATTTCTTCTCAGTGATTTACTGTTTGGTATGCAGGGATGTTACTGCTTTTTGTGCATTGATTTTATATCCTGCTGCATTACTGAATTAGACTATTAATTTTAGGAATCTTTTGATGGATTATTTCAGATTTTTTGGTACTGGGAATAAAACTCAGGACCTTGTACTTGCCAGACAAGCACTTATGCCACTGAACTATATTCCTGGTACTATTTTGGATCCTTTATGTAGAGAATCTTGTCATCATTTAAAAACTAGATTGATTTACATGATTAAAGGGAATATAATATCCAGCATAATAATTCATAAGCAGTTTGTATGTTTTTATTTGTTAACATCTTATAAACTGTAAACTGTTTTTGCACTGTTGCACTCATACTGTTTTATGCAAGTCTCTGTTCAACCTTGCTATGTGCATATTAATATTCACATTTTTGCAGAGAAAATAATGTAGCCTTGGAGTGAAAATTTTCCTGAGAAAACACTGCGTATGAAGAATTCAAGCCCATATCTATGATGTCTGCAAAGGACTAGGTGGGTCACCATAATGGATTTCAAACCTGCCTGCAGCTGTGACTTTCAAAGATTCCCTGTGTGTTCTGATAATACAAAGTCATGGCCCCATGTATGAAACTGTCCTATAAAAAGACAATGGATATTAGTAGTAGCTCTGAGCTGTCACTTAATGTAGCCAAATTGTAACTTATAGTCATTCTGGCCTTATGTGGTTATTTTTTTAACATTTGGTTTATATGTCCCTAAATTCTCTCCTTTACTTTGCTTAGACTATAAAACTGGGCTGGTCAGTAAATCTGCCAATTCTAACTGTTGTGAGTGAATTACTTAGGATAAAGTTGACATCTCTGCTTGGTTTAACCCAAACATTAATCTGCATTTTTTAGGTCACAGTCTCAGAATCTGGGTGCACCAGGAAACCTACTCACATCATGTATTTGAACTTCTGTTTTTCTTTGTATTTCAAGAAAACTTTTGCAAAATCATTATTTATCATATTGATAGGCACTGATTTATATATGGTGCATAAATTAATAGAAGAATATCAAAGCATATCCCAACAACAATATTTTGGAGTGTCCAGTGAAAAAAATAAGTAATTCCAGTCTAGACTGCACATCATATGACAAAGGAAGTGTGATCAGTAAATAAGGAGGAATAAGAAGGCAAAACTTCCTCTGGATATGTAATTCATGTGGAAATCCTCACAGGATGGAAGGTAATACTCTGAGAGGCAGAAATATTTCCCATGCTGTGAGTTATTTCATCCTCTTGGGCTTCCCTAGTGGCTGGGAAGTACAAAGCTTCCTTTTCTCCATATTCTTTGTGACTTACATCCTGACTCTGTTTGGAAATACAGCCATCATATGTGCAGTGCACTGGGACCACCGGCTCCACACACCGATGTACACTCTTCTGGCAAACTTCTCTTTCCTGGAGATCTGCTACGTCAACTCTGATGTGCCCAACATGCTGGCTAACTTCCTCTCAAGGTCCAAAACCATCTCCTTCACTAGGTGCCTCCTGCAATTGTACTTCTTCTTCTCTCTGGGTACAACTGAATGCCTATTTCTCTCCATCATGGCCTATGACCGGTTCCTTGCAATCTGCCGCCCCCTGCACTACCCCAACATCATGACTACAAAGTTCTGCTACAGCTTAGTCAGCTTTTGCTGGGTCTATGGTTTCCTTTGGTTTCTGATTCCAGTGATACTCATTACCCAACTGCCATTTTGTGGACCAAATGTGATTGATGACTTCCTGTGTGACCTTGGTCCCCTGCTGGCCCTTGCCTCAGCCTGTGTCCCAATCCCAGGGACTGTTCTCATATGTGGCACCATGAGCTCCCTCCTCATCTTTGCCACCTTTTTCTATATTATCAGCTCCTACACCCTGGTGCTAAGAGCTGTTATTCAGGTACCCTCCTCTGCTAGCTGGAAGAAGGCCTTCTCCACCTGCTCCTCACATCTGGCTGTTGTATGTCTCTTCTATGGATCAGTGATGCTGACATATGTGAGTCCAGGGTCAGGACAAGCAAAGGGCATGCAGAAGTTTACAACACTGTTCTACTCGGTTTTGACCCCTTTATTCAATCCTATGATTTATAGTCTCCGGAATAAAGAAATGAAGGATGCCTTAAAGAAAGTTCTGGGAAGTTTCTAAGTTGGTCTATGACTGGTCTATGAGTTATATTCAAATGAATTTATACTGTAACCCTCCTGCAGTGAAGAGCAACACAACTGGCAAGTAGATGTGAATTTTTTAAAGGGTGTATTTCAAAATGCTAAATGCCATAGCAAAATTGAAGCCTTCTGCCAGGAAAAATCAATTGTGTCTTGTGTATTAGGTTACTAATGCTTCTGTTGACCATGTCTTTCATTCTTCTTCATACTGTATTTACCTGTATACAAATCTGTTTCCACATGTCTCCCTATCCCTACTGGACTATAATTTCCTTAAGAGTGGCAACTATCTTTTATTTAATTTCATAAATTCAAAACTCTACCAGCACATTGATGTCAATATATCAATATAAATAAAACAAATGTATCTGTTCCTATTTCCTTATCTGATTCTGTCATCCTTCATGGTCAAACAATATCTAAAGTAACTACATTCTGTAATCATCTGTTTTTATGTATACAAGATGAAAAGAACTACCCTAGAAAAAAAAGTGAGGTCAACCTAATGTGAACAAATAATTAAATGTTACTCAAATCAATGGAAAAATTTCAGCAGATGAAACAGTGTACAAGAAGTCACCAAGAAGTAAGCTCTCCCTGTCAATCGGGCCATGCATGGGTTGCTGTGGAGAGAGCCAGATGTCAGCCCCTTTCTGGCACGTGGACTGGGAAATAAGAGTCAACCCATCCCCGACACACCAGCTGTAAGCAACCAGCTGATCTGAAGAAACATAAGCTGCAATTATGGCTACTGCAGAGGAATACAGTTCAATGCTTGCAGTGTTTAGTGTTTCATTGACTTTGCAGATCTAAAGCTGGTAGTCTGCTCATCTATTCAGAGGATGGCAATACGCAGTGTGGCATCTATGGAGGATCTCCTTCTGAAGGTGGTGGCCATTGTTGATTCCCCGCTGTCTTGTTTTGAAGTCCTGTGTCATTTTCATTGTTTTGTTGGGTTGGGTTTTGTTCTGTTTGATTTTATTGTATTCAATGGCATGGGCAGCTATTTCAAAGATAACAAAGTATATTATGATAGCAATTTTGGATTTACTATTATTTTGTTTTGAAGTCCTTTTTGGCGTTCATTGGTTTTATTCTGTTCTGTTCTGTTTGACTTTTACTGTTTCTGAATATATTTGGAGCTATTTTGAGGACAGTAAGAGGCATTATGATAACCCTTGTTGATTCCCTATTGTTTTGAAGTCTTGTGTCACTTACATTGGCTTGTTTTGATTGGCTTTGCCCTGTTTTATTTTATATGATAAAATTTTTAAAAACATAATGTACAGACAGTTATTTCTTTCATCCCTTTATCAACCCCTTTTTGCAATATAGCTGCTTCATTAACTTATCTATTACTAATGCTTCCACACCTACACTACACACTTGAAAATAAATTATACATCATTAATGGTGTGATCTCCAGGTAAGCTTCACCAGGCAGTATTTTAAAAGACCTCAGGACACTGTCAAATTAGAATCTGTATTTTAATGATATCGTAAGTATATTTGTATGCACATTAAAGATCAGGCTCCCTCAGAAAATTTTTTCTGCTTAGTTAATATTGACTCACTGTTAGCAAGGATACATGACTGACATTAACCTTGATCAATACAATGTAGTCTTAATATTAGTTTTATGGGTTTAAGACTTAGAATTAGTCTTAGACTTAGTCATAGTGAGTAGGAAAGGATAATCCACCTCTAATGAGATAATTGAATATCACAAAAGGGGGATACCAATAATCCCAAGCCTCTGTTCATGTCTTTTGGATGTATGTAAATCTAGCCATTATAACCTTAAACTTCAGATATGCCTCCAGCCATGGTCCTCATTTTCTGCACTGATTCCCTTCTATCTAACTTAACTGTGTAATATTTCACCACTCTAAAACAGTATCTCTAGCTGAAGTTAGGGGAGAAAGAAATGGTTTCCATCTAGCTGCTTCAAACTGAGAAGGATTAGTGTAAGGGAAACTACAGTCAGGGGTCTTCTTCAGAGATCTGATCTATGTGCTTCAGATAGAAGTCATGTTGTAGTTTAGCAGTTATGAATTTTTTACAAGATTGACCCAGCGGATCTTGGAAAAGGAATCTTACACATTTGTCATTGGTTCCATATGCATGACTGTTTGGAGTTTGGTAGCCTCTCCTTCCAAGTGTCTCAGTGGGACCTCCAAAATGATATAGGGGGAAATACTAGTTATCATATATGCCAAGTTCAAGTTCCCTGAAGTCAAAGTGAATGCTAAGGGACATCAGAGGTTAAGAGTAGGAAAATTTATCAGAGATGAAAAGTGAAGAATAGGAATGGGGGATAGGAATATTTCTTGAGACAAAGGAAGAGTCTCAAAAATAGGTTTCCCTCCTCAGAATTTATGAAATGGCTATAATAACCACCATCACATGGACTTTCTATTGACACCTACTTTCATCTCAACCAACCTCAGAACTGAAGGTGGAACATAGTCGTAAGTATTTTTGAAAAGTTCTTCCAAAAGTTTGTAACATTCAGAGACAAATGAGAACCATCACATTTGAATTTTTAAAATTCTAAAACCTGCATGGAATAATATGAAATGAAGTCATATCCAAATTCTATTCCCTTTCCAAAGTTACTGTGGTGCAAATCAATCAAATTCAATAAATATTAAATTGCAATATGATCACTCAACTGTATTAACCATTGCTTTGCCAAAAATTATATATAGATGGTCCTTTTTAAATATTCTTAATATGCTAACGTTTGGGAGATTATACATAGTAAAAAGTAAGTGAGAATATGGAGAAAAGGTACAAATCTGGAGACATTACAATACTTAGTTATAAGACATACCTCAGAACCAAAATAGTATAGCACTGACATAAAAAATACATAGACAAACTGAATAGAATAGAAGTTCCAGAAATAAACCCACACATCTACAAAAGTGTTAAGAATATATGCTGGGGGCAAATAGCTTCCTTTATAAATGGTATAGAAAAGATTGAGATCCATATGCAAAAGATTAAAACTTGAGCACCCTCATCCTATACAAAATAAAAATTCAAAATAGATTAAAGATCTAAAAGTTAGACCTGAAATTATGAAAGTAATAGAAGAAAACAAGAGAAAGGCTCCAAGACATTGGTATTGGAAGTGATTTGTATGTAACCCAAAAGCATAATAAACAAAAGCAAAATTAGAAAAATTGGATACATCAAAATAAGGATTCTTCATAGCAAAGGAAACAATTGACAGAATGAAAAAACCTGCATAATTTAAAAACTATACCCTAAAAGTTCATATGAGAAAATATTAGTTTCCAGAATGCATAAGGAACTCAAAAACTTTAATAAAAAACAGAAAAATAAATGAAACTGGGAAGTTATCTGAATAGTCACTTCTCAAAAGAAGAAACACAAATAACTAAAACACACGTAGGAAAAGGATCAATATCATTAACCATTTGGAAGTGCAAATCAAAACCAAGATGAAATACCATTTCACCCCCGCTAGAACGCTATTATAAAAAATAATAACAAATGGTAAGGAGCTAGAGAAAAAGGAACACTGAAACACTTCCACAAAATGTAAATTAGTATATCCATTATGAGAACATAATAGGGGTTCTCCAAAAAAGTAAAAGGAGATCAGCCATATATACAGGTATCACACTTCTGGTACATCTCCAGAGGAAATCAGAGCACCATACCAAAGAGATACCTACAGGCCTGTGTTTTTTTCTGGCATGATTTACAACAGCAAAGATATGGAGTCAGATTGGATCCTATCAGTAGATGAGTAGATCAATAAAGTATGGTACATGCACACAATGTAATATTAGTTATAAAGAAGAATGATATTCTGTGTTTTTCAAAAAATGGATAAAATTGGATGGTACCATGTTAAGTGAAATAAGCCAGACCCAGAAAAAAATGTGCATTCTTTCTCAAATGTGGAAGTTTTAAAAAATGTTAATCTGAATGTATAGTAGTGATTACTAGGAATTGGTAAAGTGAGGAGAGTAGATAAAGGAGCACTAATTATGATCACAGCACAGTGTGTGAATGTATTGAAACATTACAATGAAGCCAATTAATTTGTGTATACACATTAACAGAACAAAAAGTGGAAAATCCTGTAAAGGATTTATGCAATTATTCATTTAAAATATTTCTATGCAAAAGTTTTAAGAATGCTAATAGGGGGAACAATCCAAGAGATAACAATCACAACAAATATGTATATAGACAAAAGATCAACATACCCAACTATGAGAAACAAATAGAAACAACAAACAAATAGAAATTGAAGATGTAATTAATAACCTACCAACAAAGAAAAGTCAAGATTCTGACAAATATTAATGAACATAAAATATCAAATATGCACTAATATAATTGTAATGGGGGACCGCCATACCCCCTACTGTCACAAATAGATCAACTGGATAAAACATCAACAAAAAAATCAGAACTGAACTAAATCTCTGAAAAAATGGACTACATAGATGTCTACAAAGTGTTCTACCCCACAAAATGAAAGTACAAATTCCATTCAGCTGCATACAGAATGTTCTCAAAATTACACCACATACTAGCTCATAGAAGATGTAAAGAAACAGAAATTGTGTCATGTACATTATCAGGCAATTTTGCAATGAAATTGGAAATTAATGGTAAAAGAAACCACAAGAACTTCATGAACACATGGAAGTTAAACACTCTCTTGAGCAACCAGTGAGTCACAGTTGAAATTAAAAAGAAAATAAAAAGTTTTTACAATTAGAGAAGCCATATTGCCCCTCCAGTGAATCAGCAGAAGCCATGCTGCATCTGGGAGGAACACATCAAAACCAAGGAAGCAATTCACCTTACCTTCCAATAAGCCATGCATGCCATTCAGGGACCAGGAAGAGAGAAGCCAGAATGCCTTTTCCATGAGCCAACCAGCACGTGGGCTGAGAATCAAGAAGCATCCTCCCTCTTCCCGCTGCT